TTCCCCAGCCTCCTCTTCCTCTGCTGGCGGCGCTACTATTAGGTCGGGCGTGTCCCCCCACAGGCGGACTTTGCACGACAAAAATCAAAAACAATACACAGAAAATGCCCCCAAAATTCTGAATAAATAGTCCCCCGACTTGTTTGACTTTTTTTGTGAACATCGCGCATATCCATGGGCTGGGCGACGCAACGCGGCGGTGGCCCGACTTCGGCCCGATGGCTTTGGATCAAAAAGCGCGTTACAAGTTGACCGCAACGTCGAGATCGCGCCAAAACCTGGGGGGGGAGGGGGGGGCAAAGCGGGCCCACTCCAGCCGCCGATCTACGAATCTCAGAAAGAAAACCAAAACATAAAAATTAGCCTCCAAACTTTCTGCTATTGTCGGGGCTGGACAGACCCCCCTTTAGTAAAACGTGGTTTAGTGAAAACGACCTGAGGCCCAAACCTGGCGGGCGCAAGCCAGGAAAATAACGGCCACGGCGCCCTCTCGAGAACCGAAAGCGGACAATTCACTAATCGACGTGTCACTTTTGGGGGTTCTGTCCACCCCCGATACTGGTCAGAGCTGAATATTCCTCCCGTAGAGGGACGCGCCCGACCTCACGCTACGAAAAGGGGAAGGCGGCGGCGCGGCCCCCTGGTGCTTCTGCGCCAGGACGGACGGGGCCGCCCTCCCTCCCTCGGCCAGGGGAGAGGAGAGGAGGAGGAGGAGGAGGAGGAGGAGGAGGAGGAGGAGGAGAGGGAGGAGGAGGAGGGGGAGGAGGAGGAGAGGGAGGAGGAGGAGGGGGAGGACGAGGTGGAGGAGGAGCAGGAGCAGGAGGAGGAGGAGCAGGAGCAGGAGGCGGAGGCGAAGATGAGGCTTGCTATCACAGATCGACCCTGGCAGAGATCCGGTGGCATCAGGCTTGGGAGAAGCCTCCCGTGCTACGAGCACCGAGCACAATTATCATTGCACCGGCCTTGCAGGCGTGCTGCAGCGGATTTTTGCGCGGACTTCTGCGTGGCTTTTTGCCCGAAGCGGCGAGCGAAACACGAAGTGACTTTCGCTGGATGTTTTGGGGCTCTTCATTCCTGTCCAAAAAAATCCGCACGAAATTCACTGCGAAATCGGGAACGACTTTCTCCAAGACACTCCCGGTCCATCCTATTGTTTTCCGAACGAAGTCCGCTCGGCGATGTTGGCGCCATGACATTTAGGATATGGCAATACACACTTCCGAAGAGTGCGTCGCTGGGCAACTTTCTGGGTCGTGCAAACCTCCCAACAAATGACCAGGCCTCCACGTCATGTACGACCCACACCTGTTGCAGTACACCACGGCCGCTCCCGTCGTGCAGATGCAACCTGCCAACAGACTATGGGAAGGCAGGATTAGTGAATCGGGGTAAGCACAGCAGCCAGAACGCGGAAGCGGCGTGAAAGGGCCTCGGCGGCAAAAGAACGGGCGGGCGGCGGGCAATCATCCTGCCACAGTCGATGCACTGCAAGCTGTAAGACCCAACGGAACCTGTGGAGGCCCAAAAGGCCCCTGACGTTGCCCTTAGGGGCTTTTCCCCCCCTCCCGCCTCACACTCGTTCCCCCCCTCCTCCTCCTCCTCCTCCTCCTCCTCCTCCTCCTCCTCCTCCTCCTCCTCGTAAGGCCGCGGCGTCGCCAATGGCAGGGGGTCACCAAGCCGTGTAGTTGGCCGAGTTGTGCTCAATAACGTCCTGGCGGCGGGCGCCAACCCGACCCAACGGACCGGGCCGGGTGGCATCTCCAGGGCCCCACAAACTGAGACGAAACCGGGACGGGGATCAAATCGGGCGAGGGCATCAGTCGAGAATCTCTAATATCCGGCGGCTCTGCAGGATGTCTCGGGCGAAGCGGCCTTCTCAGAGCGTTCTGGAACGCTCGGAAAACGTTGCATACGCTCTGGAACGGATTTCGCCTAGCCCTAGCCCCGTCCGACAGACGGCCCGGTGGCCACACCGTCCGATGAGCAATCGGGGATGCACGAAACGGGGTCAGCGCAAACCCAGGTCGGCCAAGGCCCTGTCACGAACCCGAGGCCCAGCTGGCCGCTCGATAGCGTTCCTAAGCCCGGGCTGGCGGAGGGGATCGTCTGACCCCCATTAGCGCTGACCTCCATTATGTGAGCCACACAATCGAACGTGATTGGAACGTTGCCAGATCCCCTCGCGTCGTGAAACAAGTCTCGACGGAGAAACTTTGGTTGCTGGGGCCCGAGCATCATGAAAGACCGATGAACATCTGTGCCTGGGGAAGGGGTCGAGACCTCCAGTGGCCCACCCTGTCGGAAGACACCAAGACGTTGGAGGTTTGGATTCTGGGTGGCGGGGGCTTTTTGACTGTTTTCGTTTCTCCCGAGGGCGTCTCGAGTTGGCACACTCGAAACAGCGACGGACAAAATGGGGATCATGCCCAACACCAAAGGTTGCCCACAACTGACAGCAACCGCTGTTCGGCACACGATGTCTGTCGCAAATGGACAACGCCCGCGGTAGCACCGACGCCGTTTCCTGCCCAGTCGGCAGAAGCTGCACTGGTGGTATTCGTCCACATTCTCTTCGCCCCCACATTTCGATCGCACTGGTCGTGACACTACAAGCCGTCCAGCGCGGCCATACTGACCCTCTCTGACCTCACCCGTAAAGCTGCCCAGCCATAGCCCAGGGCCCCAGCCGAATTGCACCAGTTTCGGGGACTCGAGAGGGCTGCGCATGCCAGCCGTGCAGCGTCGCGCGTGCCTAGCACACGAGGGGAGGGCGGGAAGGGGGGAGCAGGAGAGAGGAGGGGAGGAGAGGGCGGAATGAGGTGGAGGGCGGAGAGGGCGGGGAGGAGAAGGAGAGAGGATGGGAGGAGCAGGAGAGAGGAGGGGAGGAGAGGGCGGAAGGGGGTGGGAGGAAGCCGCAGAGCCAGGGCACGGACATCCGCGCACAGCCTCGGCTTCAAGCAGGCGGAGGGGACCACCCGGGCCGAGCCGAGCGATCGCGGAGCTCGGAGATCTCGAGGTCATCGGACGGTCCGTCACCAGACGGCGTTTCGACCCCCGACGTGTGGGCTGGCACGGTGGGCGGCCCGCCGACACGCGCGCTCCGCCTCGTGTTCTCCGCGCTCCTCCTCCTCCCTCCTCCTCCTCCTCCTCCTCCTCCTCCTCCTCCTCCTCCTCCTCCTCCTCCTCCTCCTCCTCCTCCTCCCCCTCCTACCTGTGGAAGTGGTGGCGGAACAGCGGCCCGCCATCGATAATTCAACAGCGGGGGGCCCACGAGGGCCGCAGGGAGATGGCCCCCCGAGGGCCGCAGCACTGCCGCCGCAGCCCCGCGGGGTGCTGGAGAGGCGCGCCTCCTGCGTTAAGTCGGGCTTTTCCCTCTACATGAGGAGTGTTCAAGAATAGGCCAACAAAATGATCTGGGGACGATGTTCTGAGTATTGTTTTTGACCATGTTTGATTTTTGTTTTTTCAATTTTTCATTTTTCGCCTAAAGCCCGCCTGTAGGGGGGCATGCCCGACCTAACTCTTGCTCCCACCCGTTGCCGTCCGCCCGTTGTCCCTCCACCCCTATCAGATATTCAGGCGATCGCAGCCATGGATTAAAGGGGCGTGGACTAGCGACGGGTCCCGTTTCCAGGGGAAATCGCGGATTTCCGCCGCCGAACGAGGCGGCACTGGCCGCATTTTGGGGAGGGCTCCTCCCCCGATCCATGCTTGTGCGCCCCCGAAATATAAAGCGCTTCCGGGCCCCTGGTTCGTCAGAGACTGGCCCAGAAGGAGAAGCCAGGACCAGGGGGGAGAGGTCCAGGGAGCTCTGGGGCGCACGGACGGAACAGCCACGGCGCCGGAAGAAGAAGAAGAAGAAGAAAAAGAAAAAGAAGAAGCATAATAACAAGAATAAGAAGAAGAAGAAGAAACAAAAGAAGAGGGGACGGGGACGGCGGGACTGCTAAATGCAGCCCCCTGCTCTCTCGCACGTCCCGGCACACTCGTGAGTACCAGGGGGGGGGGGGCGGGGCAGAGCAGGAGGAGAGAGGCGAGATGAGAGGAGGGAGGGGGAGGGGGATGGGGACAAGGCGAGGAGGAGATCGAGGGGAGACAGATGAGATGGAGGAGTGAGGGGGGATCGGGGAAGGAGGAGGGAGAGGGCGGGGAGGAGGGAAGAGGAATCCCGGGAAGAGGGAGGAGAGGGGAAGACGGAGGGATCGGGATGGAGCCTTCGTCGGGCGACAAGTTGAGAACATCGGCACACGAATAAAGGCATGCGACGCAGAAGTCCGCGGTCAGCTCCAGCGCACGATGACTGTACTCCTCCTTCGCCTGGATCGCGCGGAAGTAATCGTGCGTCTCCTGCCCGCATCAGGACGACGGCAACCATGCAGCAACACCGATCCTGCACACTCCTGAGTTGTCCCGAACCTTCGGAGTGCCAGAGCCCTCTCGTTCCCGCCGAGTTCTTTTGTTCCAGCGAGTTGACCTAACCTTTCCCTGAAAGGCTGACCAGAGACCCAGGGCAGACGGGATCAAGAAGTACAGCTTTGCATTGCGCACGTGTGCTCGCATCGAGCACGAGGGGCCAGAGTGGTGGGGCGGCCTTCTCAGGAGGATTACGGCTGGACCTAGGACAGAAACACATCCTTCAAGAGCATGAGACCCTTCGCCAGCCAAACTGCAGAACATTTGAGGGTCCTTTCTCCCAGGAAACACAGGAGCATTCAGCAAGTACGAAGATCATTCAGGCACCCTCCCCGTACCGACCTCGATCTCACACCTCGGTTCCGACCGTAGGAGGCTTCTCAGAGGGAGTCTGCCCTACAGGCTCGGGAGAATGCTGTCCTGACCCAGGGGCCACCGCTGGCCTGCAGCTGGTGGTGTGCTAGTCACGGCCAGGAGATGTGGGCCTGCACCACACACAGCCACCGTACTACCAGAGGGAACGCCAACTGAGGAACAGAGCGGCTTTTCTGACGAAGGCGAGCCTCGGCCACGAATGGGTTCCCCGACCTTGGTCGAAGAAACGGCCTCAACAACGAGCCCCTCCTGCGAGCCCCTCCTGAGCCCAAAGTTGTCCTTCTTTCACCGTCTTGACTGTAGTTTACACCGCGTAGCTTGCACCAAGCAAAGTGCAAGGGCGTCTCGGCCGAAGCCGCGTCCAAACCAAGCCCAGCCAGTCACATCGAAAAAATGTATCAGGCGAAACCGCGCCAAACGCCAAGGAAATGATGAGGACGTATCAAGCGAAACCGCGCCCAAACCATGCCAAATCACGTAACTGCGAAGACGTCTCAAGCGACACGGCGCCGAAAAAAGGATGCAACATGCAGATTGCGCGAACGTCTCAGGCGAAACTGCGCCGTAACCAAGCCAAACCAGGCAACTTGCAAGGACGTCTCAGGCCGAACGGGCCCCAAACCAAGCCAAACCAGGGCCCCAAACTGGCTGAGTTTGAGGTTGTCTCAAGCAAGGCGCCCTGCCAAACCGGGCTAAACCAAGCCAACGCAGGGGCTAAACCAGGCAGAAGACGAGAATGTCCTGAGCGAGACGCCGCAAACCTGGCTCCACGCACTCCCCCTAATGACATTCAACTGCAGGAACGGCTGACGCAAGGGGATCCCGTCGCAGGCAGGGGGTCCAACTCACATTGTAAGCGGGAGCTGGGGCGCAACACCATGCATGTGGCTAGGGCGCAGCAGCATGCAACTCGGTGAGAGTTCGGGCTTCGGTGTGGCGTTACGAAAAACATGTCCGAACCAATGGGGCTAGAATCATGCCATCATGCGATTAGCTCAAGATACGTTCTTTTGTCAACGCTCGGACGTCCATTCCCCGTGCATGTCTTGATTCCGTGTTTTGTGTGCGCAGGATGATCAAAGATGTTCTCGATGGCCCTCGCCGAAGAAAAAATGTACAAGGCCGAACGATGTCCAATTTCTAGGAATTCTGGAGCATCTAGCGGCCCTCGTCTCTGGAGCCCGCACGTATCAGCAAAAACGCCCGTACATCTCGGAACGTACCACTGTCATGACTCACTGACCCTCTGGTGCCCCCAAAACGCCGTGCGCCTCGTGCGACGACTACCGCCCCCCCGTTTGTGTTCCATTTTCGAATCCCGTCGCGCTCCTCTCCGCGTCGAATCTGAGTCGAATCCGTGTCGAATCCATGTCGCACTCGTCGGAACCGTGTTGAATCCGCGTCGGATCCACGCCAAATCCGCGTCGCGTCCGCATGGAACCCGCGTCGGGCACAAGAAACAACACCAATTTTAGGACAGACGAGGTCCCCCGAAGATGCGACGCAACCGCCCCCCTGATCATGTCCGCTCTCTTGCTCGCCGTCGAGTGCAGCGCGGCTCGGAAGAGGCGGGCACGCGAGGACAGCAGGCAGGGGGGGCGAGTCGGGGCAGCTTCTCGGCCAGCCCATGGAGGGGAGGATGCCAGAAAACTGGGAGGCCATCGACTCCATTCAAACAGAACAAAACGCTCGTACATTATTGGGGCTTCATATTTGCTTGTATCAACTAGACAAGCCTTTTTTACACAATCGTATGGGAGCGCTTGTTACCATAGTATGGCATGAAAGCCGTCGGAGCACTTTGTACAAGTGTATAGATCTATAGATTTACTAGAACCGCGCGCGCTTAGGCTTTAGCCGTGGCCACGGAACAGCTCCGACGACGGTATGAGCAGGCACACGTCCAAGTATGTGGCTTTCGCCCAGAAATCCGACCTACTCCCCGTCCTCCTCCTCCCCCTCCGCCTCCTCCTGCCTTTTGGCCCCCTCCTCCCCCCCCC